CTGTTTGATTCTCTCCCTGTAAACTCCTGTTGCTATGCGACAGCCAAACATTCCATCGGTGACATCACTTGGAATGTCAAAGAATTCATCAATGTGACATCAATGATGACCTCATAAGCATTGTTCCAAGCATATATATACCCCCTCAGCATCTTCTATTGGCACTCAGACATTGAGAGCAGCATTTTTCAAACTGTTCTGTACGTCAGGCGCATTTTTCAAACATCCCATATCAAGAGAATACAGAAGTCTTTTTGTGAGAAAACAGAAGAAATCTTGCCCAGTATCACAAATTTCAAACTTTATTTCTCACTAAACATACAAAAGGACAACATGTATCTCCAAAGAACAAACGTTGCTTCTTTAAAGGACCATCACGAAATCACCAGCACGAACACCCAGCCTACCAGCACCAATGAACCAGAAAAATCAGAAGATCAGAAAATGTTCACTTGTGATGACATCCCAAAAATCCTGGAGCTATTTAAAAAATATGATGTTGATGGCAGCGGAGCCCTGGAAATGGATGAATTTTGTGACGCCATGCAGGAACTATACACGACGGCAAGTAAGGAGGAGCTGGCTGTCCTCCACATGAAGATCGACACAAACTGTGATGAATCTGTGGACATTGGAGAATTGCTTCATTTTCTTTTGTACGGAACAAAGAGTGCAGGAGCTCTGGATTATAAGAGCACGCTATTCCCCAAACCATTTGAAGTGACTACTCGTGACTCCCACAAATCAATTGTGAAAATGATATCCTTCCCTTATTCTAACTTAACCTATCAAAAAGATGAAACCAAGAATTCATCACAAGTAATTTGGCCTTACCAAAAGTGTCTGACCCTCTCCATTAGCCTGGATGGAATACTACAGCTCTGGTCTAATGAATTGAAGTTATTACACTCAGCCCCCCTGGCCCAGAAAGAAGAACCACCGCTACAATTTCACCACCAAAAGAAAATGCATGTGCACGATATGGTGTACATAGAAGAAATGGACAGGCTTGCTGTCGCTTCAACTGACAGAGAACTGCTATTCTATGAATCCTGCAGGTTTCCAGCATCACTGAAAATAACATTTTCTGTTATTGAGGAAGCGAGCACAATCACAACCCTGCATTACTGTTTCAGTGACCAACGAGCCATGTTTTCCTTTGGAGATTCAAGAGGATACCTGACCATATTCATCTCAGAAGATATCACTAAAACTGGCCTCTTTTGCAAAGAAGCATTTGAGAAAACGTCTCTACGGCACTATCCCACTGCATATGTGTCAAACCTACTGAATAACAAGTACAAAGGATTTTTTGGAACCAGGATTAACATCTTTACCAGCGACGCATGTAGTGACTTGACTTACTTTCCAAGCATGAATGCATTTGTGACCTGTAGCAAATCATCAGAAGCCATGGCCCTTATTACTTTAGCCTTTGATGGAAATCAGATCCGACCCAAAATCTCCAAAGCAATCTTTCATAGCAAGGGACATTACGAATTCTTTACCTGTGCTGCATACTCCCCTTGGTCACAATATCTGCTAACTGGTGGGACAGATGGCCATCTGCGGGTGTGGTTTCCCCACAAAACCTCATCCTGTGAACGTGAACTGCAAGGACACAAGACACCTGTCTCCCACATCCAGTATAACCCAACAGAGAAAGTTTTTATCACCTTATCTATGGATAAACAGGTATGCATATGGTCCGATGGGGACTGGACCTGTCGGCAGAGTATTTTTCCTGAGGGCATGGGAAAGTACCCAATTGCCGCCGTATGTTACAACTTGCCCAACAATGAGTTGTTTTTGGCTAATTCGGACATAGCAAGAGTCCTTGGAAGAGGAACAAACGTTTTTTACAATTCTCTGGCGTCGCACAATCTGCCTCTGTGCAACGTCCTCTATCACAACATTTTCAAGCAGATTGTCTCTGTTTGCATGGCTGGTGTGGTGACAGTATGGGATGTTTTGTCTGGAAAGGCATTAATGCAGTTCAAAGTTGCTCCAGACAAGTCTGAGGGGAAAATTGCTATTGCCTTTGATGAACCACAACGAAAAATAATCTCAATAGCTCATGGAGAAATCAAAATGTGGAACTTCAGCATTGGGGAAGAGCTTGATGTCATCCCCCTTAAAGTGCCGGACAATGTCAACCATCTTATCTGTAAAGATACTACATTGTTTCTTTCGGCAATAGATTCCAACAAAATATTCAAACTGAATTTTGAGGAAATGGGAAGCGAGTGTACACAGCATCAGTTGTTGAAGGATATTTTTTCCATGGATATCCATGAGCAAACACTGATTACAGCATCTAGCAACGGAAACGTAGTCATTTGGGATGCTGATTCTTTGAAATTGAATTATTACATTCAAGCTACAGAGAACCCCCGAACATGCCTTGAATTGTCTAAACATGACAGTCAGGAAACACCTGACTTTGAGGAGACCAAGGTACATACCATTGTTTTGTCTCTGAAGAACCGGGAAGTACAAATTGACACAGCCACACTGCTGATCGCAGCAAATGGTTTTATTGGAGCTTGGTCAGTAAAAGCTAAAGGAGGGCTTCTCAGGAAGTTTAGAGCGGTGGAAATGGATAATGTGAACATCACCTGTATGGCCACTGACGAATCAGAGGAGACATTGGTGACTGGTGACAGTAGCGGACGGGTTTGTCTGTGGGATATTCACGATTTTGGAATTAAAAGCAAAGACGACAATGGACCGTTTGAAAATTTTCCAGGGTGGAGTGTGTCACTGCGCACTCCTACACTGCTGAAGTCTTGGCAGTCTGGTAACATTGAGTTGCTCAGTGTTGCATGCAGTCCTCTCTGTGAGACCATAATAACAACAGATGTGGACAAAAACATTCAAGCGTGGAAGAATACAGGTGAATATCTAGGCCTGTTTGGGAAACACCAATGGGGCGTCAATGATGTAAAGCCACAAATCATTGAGGAGATTAAGGAAGATGAAGAGGACATATTTTCCCCCACTGAAAAAAGACAACTCGGATTTTGTTCACTTCTTTTTAAGAAATTTGCACCTAAAGATGATACCATACCTACGAATTGTCACAAAATTGAGCAAGGAATTCCTCAATTTGGGGACAGTATTAAATTAATGGCTGACGTTCTCGGGGAAAGTGTAGCCGACTGTGAAAAACAAATATATAGTAATCAGGAATGTTGCAGACAAATGGCTTCCTTGATCACTCAGACCCATCTGGATAATAGTGCTACTAAACAATCCTCACAGATCAAACCCTCTGAAACACCACATCTACTTGAACCCCCACCAAGCTACCAAGACTTGAAGGAGTCATCTTATAACAAACGCTTGGCACAAATCTGTGGAAAGATCCAACACTTTGAGGGTCAAGATATCAATCTAGCCTTACCACAAATCTCAGGAGGAAAACTAATAAGAAGTGGGAAGTCTAAGAGGGCACCTGGCACATTGGATGTACTACCCATGAGGATTGGTGGGCAACAAAAGGAGACCCAATCTGAACCACATCCACCAGTAACGCCTCGTCCCTCTGGCCACACTACAGGTGTATCCAGGTTACTAAGAAACATTAACAGTGTGGGCGAGAAGTCTAAGGTGGTAACTGGCAGAATAGATCTACAAGCTATCCAACATCATGGACAGCAAAAGTTTCCCCAAATCAAATCAGCTCTTCAACCCATCAGGAGTGGTGGGCAGCAAAAGGAGACCCAATCTGAACCACAAATCTGAACCACATCCACCTAAGAACCCTTGTCCTTAATACCCCACTAACTTAACTCTTTCTCCCTCTCCCTCTCTGTCTCTCTCTCTCTCTCCCTCTCTCTCTCTTACTCTCTCTCACCCCCAACCGGTCGAGGCAGATGGCCGCCCACCCTGAGCCATGGTTCTGCTCGAGGTTTCTGCCTCTTAAAGGAAGTTTTTCCTCGCCTGTGTCGCCTAGTGCTTGCTCTTGGTGGGAATTGTTGGGCTTCTGTAAATAACTTCAGAGTCCGGTCTAGCTAACTTACATCAAAGGATTCTAGAAATAACGGTCAAAAGTACAAACACACAGTAACATCTCTCCATGACAATAGTAGAGTTTTTTGTACAATTGATCTTATCATTGTGCAAATTATATTTAACTCTACTCTACTACTTTCTCCTTAACAGTTAACAGTAGACTTTATTAGCAAACTTACCATCAATGTAATTATTGGGCTAAGTATATTAAAGTCTACTGTGCCGCTTTCAAGTGGAACATTATTTTGACCATTATGTATTTTTTTCCCCAACAGATAACAATTTGATTGACAAGAAATACCTTAACCAAAAATACAATTTCAAATAAAATACTGAAATCAAGTACATGTGTTTTGTTTCATTGCAAATTAGCTATTTATATATATCCACAAATTTCTTACTAATTTATTTATTTAAGAACATCTCTAAAAGGTGCTGATCAGCCATGCTTTTGTGGGTGTACATCTCTCTTCTCGATGGTTGTGGCTTTGCTTTGGCATCCTGAGGTCAATAAAACCTAGAGTGGTAATTATCCGAGCTCCACAGGGAATTTGTTGGGACGTTTGTCAGCGCCGGGCTGCCGTAGCAAGCGGCTGTCATGTTCCATTTTCGGCTCATTAGCTCCGCCGCGTGACTCCCGTCTGCACGAGGAGCCGATGTGACGGCCTCCAGTCGCCCGGGGCGCCACTCACTGGCCCAGGGGTCAAGGTTGAAAAGCTCACGGTTCACGCGGGCTGCCACGGATGATGGGAAACGGTTACCGCGGCAACGGGGGGGTGACTGCCAAGCAATGGTGGAAGCAACAAAAAATAAAAAATCCAAATCTCTCATCTTTCAAGAGCCGACAGCAGCAGCAGCAGCAGCAGCTGAAAAAAAGGAAAAGAAATCAACAGCCCTGGAGGTTAGAGTGATGCTTCACAGCCCCAGTGAATCATCACATCCAACTGCTTGACTTTATTCCCAGGGAGGAAAATTCAGGACACGTCTTCATCTCTGAAGCAGCCGCTGAACGTGCTAACGTCTAAACAAGCTCACAAGCTGGGATCTCTGCTCTGAATGCGCCTTACATCATCCAACAGGCCAACAGGCTTAAAATAGTCTGTGGGGAACGTGAGCGCTCAAGCAAGAGCACCCAAAAGCCATCGTTTCCATATTAAAGGGACATTGTGTAGTATTTTAAGTATTTTATTAGCTAAAATCAATGTCTTCATTTATAAATGTGTCCTCATTGAACGTAAAATGACCTCTGATATGATCTGATGGAAGAATTTTCCATCTGTGTATACACAGGACGGGTAAATCCATGGAGGTTTCCATGGCGATCCGCCATTTTGAAACACTATAATGGCAGAGAGGGACATAAAGCACTAGTCTGCCTGTCTAGCTAATCCACAACATGTTTTCCTTCAGAGTCACGTGACCTAAACCATTTTAAACAAAACATGTTTATCCCCCCAAAAAAACATATAGAATATGTCACTACTGATTAGCACAGTTCAGCTTTTCAGTCTGTGATTCATACTGTAACATTCGTTTGTTCGTTGTGTGTCAAGTTGTTAGCTAATGCTAGCTACCACATAAGCTAGTCACAGTAAGCTACAAACAAAAAACAAGGCAACGTAATTCTCTATGTTTTTGGAGGAGGATTCCTACACCGGGTACTTTTAACTCTTTTTATGGAACACAAATTGAGCTAAACCTGAGAAAAAGTTTCCAAAACACAACAAGAAAATTAAAAAAAAGATTCATTTTGGTGACTTAATTCCTAAACTTCATTGTATCATTGGAGTCGTGTTTCTCATTGTGAAGCTCAGCTTTCTTCCAGGACTTTGAGAACTGAGTAGACTTCTGAGGATTTCCAGACTTAAGATGCTCAGTAAATATTCTTTTCTGGGCCCTGATTGGACCCTAAAAGCCCTTTTAATAGTTCTTTTACAGAACATCACATTGGAGATGAGCATTTCAGCCCTAAATGTCTCCTAGTAGAGCTTGAAGTAAAAAACATTGATGGAATATGCATGAATGGACAATCCAAACTCCCAATTTTGTCTCAGGGAATTTGTGGCCTAGACCCCTAAACTAAATTTACCTATTTTTACTGGAGTGACATAAAGATGGTCCCAGATTTAAGGCCCAATCCATCCGTTATCCACACGTTTTGGTCAGAATAGAATAGGACAAAAAAGCTTTTAAACTTGGAAATTAGTCTTAAAGGTAAATTCAACCTCAGCAAACTTCTAATTTCTAATTAAAAACACCAAGCCCCGATAAAGGAGCCTGATTGATGCTCCCATAACGAGGAGCCAATCAGAGGTGGAGGCAGCGCAGCAGCCTCATCTAGTGGATGTTAGTGAGATCAGCTGCTTTTGCCTTTATGAACATCCTTTAATTCATCTTTACAAACCAAAACAAGTCAAACACAACCATCATATGATGCAATATTTGATTTATTTCTGGTGTAAAAAGGTTTCAGACTACAGTTCAATGTGGAGGTTCTTGATGAGAAGAAGCTGGATGTGATCTCATTTCCTCTAAATTACATTTGAGTTTATTTATCTGATGTGATAGTGACATGATATGATGTTAAAATGATCCCTAACCACTTTTTAGATATATTTTTATGGACTCTAGTAGTAAGACTAGAAAATGATCTTATTGAAATGACAGATAAATGTCTTTACACAGCTGAATCTTTTCATAACTCATCTAATAAACTTAAAAAATAACTGAGCCTTCATATAATTTAGTGGTTGAATAACTGGCCAGTCCCCCGCAGGCTGGAATAACCAGTTAAAGCTCATTTTCACATTGATTTGCTTGACAAATGTACGGATCATGCATGATTTTATGGCTTTTTTTAACATTTATGAGGCCTGAATCAATAAAGCCGCTTATGTAAGCGATAAAACTCTTGAACATCCAGCTATCGGCTACTTTCTTTATCATTCATAGTTCACTTAGAGGCTCAGAAACCAGCTGGCTGATCCAGAGTCAGTGACATTAATCCGGTTTGTTTCTTTGCTTTGTTTTTGGCCCCACTTGGATTTTCACAGCCCGGGGCAGCTATATTTACCCTGGAGGCCCCAGTGGTGAGTCCAGCCCCAAATCCAAACAAACAAGCAGAACAGGGCGAGAACAGAGACTAAATTAAGGAGGAACGATGTAGGGACCCGCTCACAGATTAATGAGAGGCGCCAGACAAATGATGCCTGCAGCAACACAAAAGAGACAGAACACTAAGTTCACTTTGATTTTAAACTCATGCCAACATAAATTTGATTTGTGGCCCAAACTACAATTTTCCTGGTTCACTTCTCAGTTGTAGTACAAGCACACAAAAACAGACAAAACCGAATTACTAATTAAACCATAGATTCATTTTTTAAATCTAAATTAATCTCACTTTAATTTTAAATGTGTGCTACCTAAATTATGTCTAAAAGTAAGTCTGTGATCCTGTTTCATATGTTCTGATGATATTTTGTGTTGGAATTAAATAATCAATCAACTGTACGTGTGTTTGATAAATGTTTATTCAGGTAAGCCTCCATTTTCAACTGTAGGACTACACAGGAAAAGATCGTTAGAAGTTAACTTTGTATCAACCGGCTCTACTTCTCATTCTTCCACACAATAAATAACTTATGAAAATTTTGGGAAATGATTTTGACCTTTTTATTTTACTATTCCGTGTATTTTGGATTTTTATTTAATTATTTTGAGGCCTAATCAACGGAAGTTAACGGAAGTTACGTTGTCATGGCAACCTCAAACATAGCTAGCTAACGGTCGCCGAGTGAGAAGCTAAAAACAAAAACAAAGAAATTCAAAACACCCCCTGTTCAAAACGATTTAAATCCTCATATCTTATGCCCTGCTCACAACCCACATTTGAGAATAGATTACCGGCGGTATTTTTTATTTTCTCCCGGTAAGAGTCTCCGGTAACAGCCGTTAGCTCCTCTGAGCTAACTGCTAATACTCCTGTGCTCAGATCCAGACCGGATGGGGTGAAAAGGTCCCGTTTCCTTCCCACAAACACACCAGAGCCTGACCCAGTGCTTCCAGTCTGCAGACGTACATAAACCAGCCGGCTGCGGGAGTTTGTTTAGAGGGAAACAGCTTTTAATCCCACATCTGCATGCAGACGGATCATCTGCTGCTGCTGGATTTCCTCTGGCATCTTAACTTAATTTAGCATTGGCAGGATGAGATTAAACTGTTCTTTTGCCTTGCTTGTAGCCTCTTATTCCGACCTGCATCCACCTTTTCCTGGGTTTTGGGTCAGAGGGGGGCTTTACTGGAGCCCTGGGCAGCTTCCTGCCCCCCCCCCCAGCAGAGAGGAGCCCACCTCCAGCTCCTGGTTTAGTTTGGAGGTGTTTTCTTTTCCGGGGAGGTGCAGGAATGGAGGCAGGTTCTCCTGGCTGGCGGCGGCTGGATTTGTCTGCATATGCTGGGCTGGATTATGCTGATCCAACTTAATGCCCGAGGCCTTGCAATCATTCAGAACTGCTGGAGCCCCCCCTCCATCTGCCCGCCGCCAGCAGGATTAACTTCGAGGAAGATGGTGTGAGGCGGGGGGGGGGGGGGGGGGCTCTCAGGATCCAGAGACTCTCTGAGCGCACACGTCTGCTTTAATCTGCAGCCTCACTCACTCCATTCTGCTCCACCGCAACCAGAGCTGCTCATTTACACAGCCCTATATCACATTTATACTGTA